TTTAAGGGGGTCTGAATACTTTCCGTACCCACTGTATATAGATTGATTATATAAAAATATATAAAAAATAATAATAATTTCACAATATTACCATTTTATACTTAGTATATTGCAATGTTTCTATAAACTATATATAAAAGTGATGTATATCTTGTAATTCTTAATTGAACAGGCAAGAATGGACAATTCAAGTGGTGCCAGACAAAACCCTGCTGCTAAAGACATCACAGATGATGAGATGGGTAAACAGAGTTGTCAATGACAATGAATTTCTTTTGAATCTGAATAGCTGTTTATCTCTTAGCAATGCTATCAACCCCACTCAGCAGATGCACTTTAATCTCGTCTTTGTATAGGTTTAGAGGCGGTGACTGGTGACGTTGTGTACAGACCCTGGAGAAGTCACACACTCACTCATGGTATGTCTCTCCAGGACAAAAAAGATCATTGCGAGTAATCCAAACCACAAGAGTCATGTAAACCGAGTGAAAATGCTTCACTTTTCGCCACACACGAGAAATATACATGATGGTCTTATGTATGACTATATATCTGTGCTTTTGCAGGTTCAAGTCCACCAACTCAAATAAACGGTGGGGTTGGGACAACGACTGAGGGTTCGGTAACACTTCAAGCTATCTGAGAAAGTGTAAGCACTTCGGATGACTATTTTCTATGTTTAAAATACTCTTTGAGTGAAATTTCACTCGACAATACAAACATATAAGTACCTCTCAATATTTTTTTTCATTCAGATGACAAATGGCATCACTGCTGTAGGCGTAACACCACCAACTTCGAATGGTGGAAACAAGCCTGCAGAGAGTTCCACCATATTTATTATGCAACCTGAAATGCTCATACTAAATAAAACCCCTCATTATTTGGCGATAAATGGTTTCTGTATCCTTCTGGGGCTGGGCTGAAGTCCTGCTTTATGGCATTGACTCACATAAGTGCCCATCAAACTTTGAGACCATAGGAACTATGAGCCCCCCGATCTGTCCCTCAACATTGACTGGACTGATTCAAAGCTGAATCCTTATGCAAAGTTTCCGATAAGAATTGTCAGTGGCCCTCAGGGGAGGGTGCCTGATCTTCTGGCCACACCTGTTTTGACAAATAGGGATCTTTATTCAGGTGGTCACGGATTAAATGCAATGTAAGCAAGAAAATCAGGTGTCACATCTCCATTTGAAGAAAAGGTGGAAGTGTCTGCATCACCATAAGAGAGACCTAAAGAAATTAAGATTTTCCTTTCTTTTTCTAATGAAGTACAGTATTGTGAAATTATTCTGCATTCATATTTATAGTAGGGGTGATATATATAGACTTTATCTCCCAGATTGACTGGTCTGTGTATGTTTTAATTCATGTATATAATCGGCAGCATACTGGTGAATATTTTTATGTTTTGAACAAATGTTCGAATTCCAGTGGGAATGAATAAATTGGATTAAAAAAAACACGTTTACATTGAAATTAGTTACAGACTCTTTAGAATTAACCCTTCTGTTCTGTTGAGATTGAATTTATTTTATTTAGGGGAAATATGTGATTCCCCGTTCTTCACATTTTTTTTAACGGTTATGAAGAAGGCATTTAGAGGCTGAAATTCTTAATCGTTGAAATAATTGTATTCTTTAAAAATAAGCAGTGAAACAACTGTATCATATTTGTTATACACTAAATCAGTAGTGTAAACGACATGCAATAAACCATTTTAAGAAAAAAATGACTCCAAAACGAATAAAAAAAAACCTTGAAAAAAAGGGAAAAATAGTATTTTAGTCAAACTGTTTGTAGACAATTTTTCAAAATGTACAGAACATTCCTAAGAACTTTGTTTTTGAGTAAGCACATGGTTTTCAACTAAATTTTTGTAATTTCAGACATTTTTGTCATTGATATATTAAATAGACACTATACTGAACTCCAAAACTAGATCTAAAGTGAAATATTATGTAATGCATCAGATATTAGATCACATAAAAGGAGGCATTTATATTGTGACAATGTGTTGCATTTATTGTTTTATACCTGGGGTCCCTGTTTCACCAGACGTTACTGAGGATGTTTTGATTCATGTGCAGGTGAATTCTGTTTTGAACCAGTTCTTTCAAGATTCGAAAAACCTCATCAACCTGATACTTCAATGCAACGCCTATGTTTTACAATATATTACAAGAGCTTTAATTGCATGCCTTATTTAATCAATTCTGAGCTTAACACATTTGTCTATTTATTAGATCACACGTAGCTGCCAAAACGTAGAAACCGTTCAGGTGACAAAATCCTTTTTTTTTTTTTCTTTTTTTTTTTAATATTAAAACGTATTTCTTTGACCTGTTATCTTGGACCTAGTTTCTGTAACGCTTAATACTCACGTTCGACGGTGAGTAAATAAATACCAATAATAAAACCACTGCATGTTTAAAGCCCCTCTTCACGTGACGCCTGTTGCAGTCTTTGGGAAACGCACACGGGTCTGTGGCCGACGTGCAGAACGCGGGTTCAGTACGTTCCAGTACGTGTATGTGCTCTCGCTCACGTACGCATTTCATTGGCCTCAACGGGTGCACGAGTGCAGCGCGTGGGGAGGTGAGTCACGGTGATCGACCAATGGCGTGCGGCGGCGATGCCACCGGACTGGGAAAACTCGTATTCTGTAACCCTTTCATACCCTCCCCCTTCCCTACAGAAAACCCAGCTAATGAAGAAGAAAGAAAGAAAACACAGCTACTGAACTTATACTCTCTGTTGTACATATAAATACAACATGCTGTTTGGTAAACATATAGATTAACACTTTATTAACCCTCTCAAAGTAAACCATTATAATTACTTGACTCTCGCTTATGGTATTAGACCCCCAAAACAGTTAAAAGAGTTATTCAAAAACGTGAAGACAACTCTGGCTAAATCTGTGCATTTAAACCACTCGGCATGTTGTATATTTTGTAACAGCATATATATATTAATAGCATATTAAAGATGACCCAAAGGGTTAATCCTATAAGGTAAATCCATGCAATGCAACATCAGCCAGCCACGAGTTGCAACTCCGTACACACGCATGCACAGAGACAAATACTGCACTATGCAGACATATGATCATTTAAAAAAAAAGTGCAATTTTAATGCACACTTAATGTTATGCAATAAAAATGGGCTGGAATTCGCGTTTTAAATTATGATTTGCACAGTAAGCAACAATGCAGCCATTCGCACTTTTTTAAATGCTTTATTTAGTGACAATTCACATGACAATAAAAGCAAAAATGTCAATAAATTCAAAGAAACGATGATTGTAAAAAAAAAAATTAGCAAATTAAGGAAGAAAAAAGAGGAAAAAAACGAAATAAATCAACAACAAAAAGTTTCTTTGCATTCCTGTGAAAACGCATTTTACAGGAGCAATGCAAAGCCACCGAGATTTAATAAAAGAGGTGCAGGAGTGCGTGAAATACAGTGCCGTGTGTGTGTCCATTGTGTTTCTTGACCCTTCCTCAACTTCTGCGTAAACAAGTTGGAATTGTAGGGCGTGCGTGTTGGAAAGCGGTGTTCAGCCAATGAGCGTCGACATGCCTACCACATGGTCAGGTTGTTTACTACAAGAGCAGAAGCCCGCTAGAAGGCGCCGAGTGAAAAACCCGGCATCGGACCGCCCTGGAACGTCTCGTCTCTGTGAAGACTGAAGCAATGCGGATTCAAACGGAATCAAACAGAAGCTCGCCTCATCCATGGCGTGTAAAGTGAACACTGTAGATTAGAATAGACCGCTTTAAGAGCAGTGCTCTTACGCTCTTGGTGCTTTATCAAACAATAACACTTATGCGTAATTGTAAGAAATCCAGGCCAGGATTTTGAATATCTGAATAACAGCCGTTCTCTGGGCTCTGAAAAGGACACTTTCAAGTTGCAGCCGGTCAGAGCGAGCCTTGTGGGAAGGGGGTGTGTTGAAATTTGGCAAAGGTACGTGCGCAGCGTTCATTGAAAGTTCTTTCCTCTGTTTTAATGCATTCGTTGCTCTGTATGCTTCTTAGTCAAGACTGCATTGTTTGCTGCCATTAAGGTTAGTGCACTATTACAGTGATTTAATATAAAACACGGCTTTTGGTTTGTTTATGCGATGTTGTACTTCGATTTAAAACCTTTTAGGGGGAAGATTGTTTTAGGTTTTCTAACACAGCTGTGAACTTTTGCATTTGTCACGAAAAACCGTTTCTAAACGGAATGGGAAAAAAAGTCCGTCGGTTCATTGATTCCGGCTTAGAAACGTGCAGAAACGATCTTTTCCTCATTGGAGGAGATTAACTGTCCAGCTGCTACATGCTGGTCAGTTTCGCAAGGACAGCATTCAGCGTTTTGAATGAATACTAGACCTGACTATGGTTTTAGTCGCGACGCTTTGGTTTGTTTATGCGATGTTGTACTTCGATTTAAAACCTTTTAGGAGGAAGATTGTTTTAGGTTTTCTAACACAGCTGTGAACTTTTGCATTTGTCACGAAAAACCGTTTCTAAACGGAATGGAAAAAAAAGTCCGTTGGTTCATTGATTCCGGCTTAGAAACGTGCAGAAACGATCTTTTCCTCATTGGAGGAGATTAACTGTCCAGCTGCTACATGCTGGTCAGTTTCGCAAGGACAGCATTCAGCGTTTTGAATGAATACTAGACCGGAGTATGGTTCTAGTCTGCAACGCGGCTGCGAGCGCTGTTATTAATGTTCTGAATGCGCGATGTCCGATTCCTGAACCAACGGTTCTTTTGAGTTCGATATCTTCAGTGAATTGAATGAGCGGGTTCACAAAACCGGTCTGAACGTGAATGAATCGGTCTGGGTTTTCAAACATGTCGGAAACGAGTTGTTTTAATTGCCAAACAACATCAATGTTACCAAAAAAACGTGTATGATTGTATATAAGTTTATACGAGACCGCGGTTTAATAAATAATAGTTTATGCTAAAACGTATCAGCCTTGAGAATGTTCAATGTAAACGCAAGTTATTAGTTCTGACTTTGTTTTTATGCGCTGAATCTTGACTGCAAAAAAAGGGGATGCATTCAATCACGGTAAGCACCTCTGGTAGTATAAACCAGCGCTACGTGCCTGCATGGCGTCTTTGGAAGGTTTTAACATGTAATCTGCCACGCCGGTGTGTCAGGAACAGAGACGGTCAGGAAACACGCTTTGACGTAATTACGTTATGACGTAATTACGTTATGACGTCATAGAATAGCCGGGTCGTTTTTTGAACCGGTTCTTGATTAGCGTGGCTTTCTATAACTAGTTTTCTATGTACCGAGCATTCATGTCCCGAAACCATTATCTTATATTCTTCAACTTTTATAATCACCCAGATATAATTAGTTTAACAGATTTAGGAAAGGAAAATGGATTTTGTTGCAGGGCGTATGTAAATAAAAGGCGTTTGCATGAGAACTCTCTCTCTCTCTCTCTCTCTCTATATATATAAAAACGTTATTTAAAAAAAAATTATTATTATTTTAACATTCGAGAATAAAATAGTTCTTATTAGACTCAAAAAAACAAGCAGTACCATTTTAATATTATCATCTTGGGCAATATCAAGTCATTTTTAATGGTTTGCACAGTATTTTCTGCTCTGTTATACACAATACTAATACATTTCCTTCAGAAATATGCTGGTTTGGTGCTCAGGAAATATTTCTTATTATCAGGTGTTGAAAACAGCTTTTTTTAATATTTATGTGGAAGCTGATATTTTTCAGGATTCTTTGATGAATCGAAAGCTCAAAGGAACATCACTGATTTGAAACAGAACTTTTTAGTAGCATTATAAAGGTCTTTACTGTCACTTTTCAGTATCTAGCTCTTATCCACTGGTTTACAGGACATTTACATTTTGGATGAAGCACGTTATCTTATTCACCTCTATTATTCCGTTTGCATTGTCTTTATACATAATACAAATAAAATAAAAATTGCAAGAAGTAATCTCTCTTTCATGCTGTTAAATGTGTAGTATTTGGCAATCAAGGGAAATTTTCACTTCAATCAGTTACAGTTACTCTGAATCACCTTTTACTGGAAGAGAGGAAACTTAATACCTGACAGCAGCTGGTAATAATGGTCGATTCCTTTGTGCCCTAAACTCTTGAGTGAACATTCTGAAGTTACAGGGCCTAGCATGACCATAGCAGTTTTATGAACTGCGTCAGTTTAAAGTAGTTTTCCCTGGGGTTCATTCTGTGCTGACAATGACTCATAGGCAATGTGCACAGTTGCACGTAAACTTTAGATTTTGCATCATTCGTCCTGTGATGTCTTAATAGTTTGACACTAAGTTGTCGGATGTTTCACGTAAAGATGGTTGGTGACTCATGCATCAGCAATGTTGGTGACAGCAATGTTGAGACTAATACTAATATTTTATACATACACC